CAGAGTTTGACACCTATGGGTTAGTGGGTCGTAGGAAACACTTATTAAGGGAGGGCTAGGGCCATGGTCCATGAGTCCTCTCTGGGATGGCTTACCACTTTTTCTCTTTCTCTCTCTTCCTTAAGCACTCTATCTTTACTCTGTGTGTTTGTGTGTGGGGTTTTTGTTTTGTTTTTTAGCGCATGGCCAGGACTCATGCCAGATTCCTGCCCTTGGTCTACGAGCAGTTGTCAGTAATCTTCAGTCTTTGCTGGAGTGTTGAACAACTGACAGTTAGTGAAGCCCCAGCTCCTTCACTCGTGTGATTGCTCTGCCTGCTCCTTTGAGAAAACTTACCTTTGTCTTCACCAGTGCATATTTCTGTGAAAATTAGTGAGCCGGTCAGTGTTTTGGAAGAGAGATTCTGTGGAGAAACATGCCCCGCGGAATTCAGTTCAATTGACTTCCTCAGCCTTGACCCCAGTGCTGATCTCCAGCATGGTCACAGACATGTTCTGTGGCCCTTCAACATCATCAGGCTCTTTTGGAATGAGACGCTGGAATCGGACACATTCTAGGGCACGCTCTATAATGGAGCGTGCTCTAGAATGATGGCTGTTAAAGCCCTGGGGAGTGGACGTTGGAGGCATGGGTACCATCCATCTGCGAGAATCAAATGCCCTGGAGGAGGGTAGACTGAGTGTCTGTACAGTGGGCTGTAGAACGAGGCTTCCCAAACACTCTTGAGACCACCCTGTAGGATGCTCCACTTACCAAACCACACACCAGGGTCTCAATTGTGGCACCCCAACCATGCCGCTGATCCTGGTTCAGGAGATTTAGCAACACTGCCAGAGACTCCTTGCTTAGCCGAAAATCAGGCTTGGGTTCCTCCTGGTTTACACAAAAGGGAAAGTCTGGCCCATGAATCCTTTTGCTACACGAGAAAAGATGTTCAACATCCACGGTAAAGCGCGTTCCGTAGTCGGTATCCGTAGCCAGTCTTGTTAATGATCTCACTGAGGGGGTTCAGGCCTATGCAGAACAGCAGTGGGGACAGAGCATCTCCTTGGTAGATCCCGCACTTGATGGTGACTTGTGCTATGGGCTTGGAGTTGGCCTCTAGTGTTGTACGCCACATCCCCATTGAGTTCCTGATGAAGGCTCTTAGGGTCCCATTGATCTTGTACAATTCTAGGCATTCCAGTATCCAGCTGTGGGGCATTGAGTCATAGGCCTTCTTGTAATCAATCCAGGCAGTGCACAGGTTGGTCAGCCTGGTCTTGCAGTCTCGGCTGACTGTTCTGTCTACCAGTAGCTGGTGTTTGGAGGTATATTGATATAAGGCCCTGCTGATGAGGCATCACCTGGT